TGAGTTTCCATTTATTAGTGCCCTCTTTAATTTCTCTTGAGTGTCTTATAGTTTTCAGGGTATAGGTCTTTCAGTTCCTTGGTTAGGTTTATTCCTAGGTATTTTTGTGGCCTAGTATGTGGTCTATTCTGGAAAATCTTCCATGTGCACTTGAGAAGAATGTGTATCCTGTTGCTTTTGGGTGCAGAGTTCTATAGTTTTTTATCATGTCCATCTCATCTAGTGTACTGTTCAGTACCTCTGTGTCCTTACTTTTTTTCTATCTGGTGAATCTGCCCTTTGGAGTGATTGGTGTGTTGAAGTCTCCTAAAATAAATGCATTGCATTCTACTTCCTCCTTGAATTCTGTTAGTATTTGTTTCACATATGCTGGTGCTCCTGTATTGGGTGCATATATATTTAGAATGGTTATATCCTCTTGTCGGACTGAGCCCTTTATCATTTTGTAATATCCTTCTTTATCTTTTGTTACTTTATTTTGAAGTCTGTTTTGTCTGATGCTAGAATTGTAACACCTGCTTTTTTCTCTCTGTTGTTTGCATGAAATATCTTTTTCCATCCCATGACTTTTAGTCTGTTCATGTCTTTGGGTTTGAGGTGAGTCTCTTTAAACAGCATACAGATGGGGCTTCCTTTTTTATCCATTCTGTTACTCTGTGTCTTTTGATTGGTGCATTCAGTCCTTTTACATTTTGGGTGATTATTAAAAGATATGTACTTATTGCCATTGCACTCTTTAGATTCGTGGTTACCAGAGATCAAGTGTAGCTTTTTTACCATCTAGCCATCTAACTTCACAGTCTTATTAAGCTATTATAAACACAGTCTGATGATTCTTTATTTCTCTCCCTTATTATTCCTCCTCCTCCATTCTTTTTATGTTAGAATGTTTTAAGCTGCACTCCTTTGTGTTTCCTTTGACTGCTTTTGTGAGTAGTTCATTTTATTTTTTGCCTTTAGTTAGTAGTTGTTTGGTCTGCTTTCTTTGTTGTGATTTTATTTTCTCTGGTAACATCTATTTAGCCATAGGAGTGCTTCCATCTAGAGCAGTCCTTCTAGAATACCCTGTAGAGGTGGTTTTTGGGAGTCAAATTTCCTCAACTTTTGCTTTTCTGGGAATTGTTTAATCCCTCCTTCATATTTAAACCATAGTCGTGCTGGTTACAGTATTCTTTGTTTAAGGCCCTTCTGTCTCATTGCATTAAGTGTGTCATGCCATTCTCTTCTGGTCTGTAAAGTTTCTGTTGAGAAGCCTGATGATAGCCTGATGGGTTTTCCTTTGTAGGTGACCTTTTTTCTCTCTCTGGCTGCCTTTAATACTCTGTCCTTGTCTTTGATTCTTGCCATTTTAATTATTATATGTTTTGGTGTTGTCCTCCTTGGGTTCCTTGTGTTGGGAGTTCTGTTGGCCTACATGGTCTGAAAGACTATTTCCTCCCCCAGTTTGTGGAAGTTTTCAGGAATTATTTCTTCAAAGACACTTTCTGTCTCTTTATCTCTCTTCTTCTTCTATAATGTGTATATTGTACCGTTTGGATTGGTCACACACTTCTCTTAATATTCTTTCATTCCTGGAGCTGCTTTTATCTCTCTCTGCCTCAGCTTCTCTGTATTCCTGTTCTCTGATTTCTATTCCATTAACGGCCTCTTGCACCCCATCCATTCTGCTCTTAAGTCCTTCTGGAGTTTTTTTTATTTACGTATTCTCCCTCCCAAATTTATCCATTAGCTCTTGCATATTTCTCAGCAGGTCCATCAGCATGATTATGACTTTTATTTTGAATTCTTTTTCAGAAGATTGGTTAAATCTATCTCCCAGGCCCCCTCTTGGGAGTTTTCTGGGTATTTCTGGACTGGACCAAATTATTCTGCCTTTTCATCATGATAGAAGTACCTGTAGGCAGGTAGCACATGTGTCAGCTGGGAGAACAAAGTCTTTTCCTGTTTGCTGGTTGCCTTGCCCCTTTCCACTGCCTGTGTCAGTTACCTGCACTCCTGGGGCAGCCTCTGGATTAATCTCCTTAGCTGCTGTGGGTTAGGTCACCATCAGGCTAGCCCAGACCCCTGTGAGGAGTGGCATGCAGGCCGGGTGTGCTCTCCTGTGAGAGCTGTGCCCCTTTGTGCATTTCCCCAGTTTCTTCTGCCTGCCCAAGACAGCTGTGTGCTGGCAGCAGCATTTGGGTATGGCCCAGGTGGCTGCATGCCCACTTCTGGGCCGCTCTGCTGCCGCATCCACTGGTTCCCGTAGCCACTCCTGGCCCGCTCTGCCACTGCCTTGGGCACACACAGCCACTCTCAGGCTACTGGTCCACTGTGTCGGTGACTGTGCTGGCTAGGGTTACGACTGGCAGGCTGCTTATCACTGTGAGGGGCTTCAGAGGTGCACTGCCTCCCAGTGGGTTAGGGTGTCTGGAGTTCCCTGGGATTCCCAGCTGCTGGGCTGAGTGTTCCAGGATGATTCCATCCTGCTGTGAGGTCCCTGTCCCTTCAAGAGTTTCAAAAATCACTCACTTTTCTTTTGTCCCATGGGAGCCAGTTGCAGGGACCCTCTCACAGATTTTGCTTTTCCATTTCTCTAATATCCAGCATACCATGCACTGTGTGTCTGCACTCCTGGTGCGGATTACTAGAGCTGGTTGTTTAGCAGTGCTGAGCTTTCACTCCGTCCCTGTTGTGACTCCTTTCTTCCCACTGGGGACCTGGGGTGGGGGGAGCACTTGGTTCATGCCAGGCATGGCTTGTGTCATACCCCCTTCCTGAGATGCTGAGTTCTCACAGGTGTAGATGTAGCCTGGCTGTTGTACTGTATCCACTGGTCTCTCTTTTAGGAATAGTTGTATATGTTGTATTTTCAAAACTACATATGGTTTTGTGAGGAGATTTCCACTGCCTTACTCATGCTGCCATCTTCCATGATTTTTATTTTAAATCATCTTTCATGAATATTGGTGAGTTCAGTTTCATTTGGTTCTTTTTCTGGTGTTTGCAAGATTTTTGTTTGAACTGGGTAACTTTGACATTTCCTATTTGTATGTGTCTCCCAGAATCTCTAGTCTCTGGAGCTGCTCTGTCCATGGACTGATGTCAGGGTTCACAGAGGAACAGTGCTGGTGCCTAGGGGGAGGGAGGGCTGTTTTCTGCTTCCCAGCTTCAGTGACTCTCTCCACTGTCTGAACAAGTGGGTCAGCATGCAGGTGTAAGCCTCTGTGCTTTGCGTCTGTAGCTGGCATAGGATGAGCCTCTCTCTTGCTGTCCTGACCTCAGGGCCAGAACTGCAGGTTTGTGAGCTTGTGCCAGCATTCCAGAAGGAAGTCAGAGCAGGCTCCATATCACAGTGAGGGGCCTCAGAGATGAGTAGTCAGCCAGGGGTATGGAGTGCCTGAAGCTCCTGAAAGTTCCTAACCAGCTGGGCAGAGTGTGCCCAGACAACCTTGTCCACCTATCCCTTCTCCTACACAGCAAGCTCTGTGAAAACCCCACCCCTTCATCATCCCTCTCACTACTAGGAAGCCTCTCAGACCACCTGCCTTTCCTTTGTCCCAGAGCATCCAGATGTGGATCCCTCTCCTCCACAAATGGCTGGAATCTCAGTCTCTCCAAGTACTCCACCTGTCTTAGCTTTCCAACCCCACTAATCTCCAGAGCACAGTGAAATGTAGGTTTATACTCCTATAGCAGATCTCCAGGATTGGGTGATCATCAGTCCTAAGCTTTCAGCCCCTTGCTGCTCTGTTTCTCTTCCTCCCACCCATGAGCTGTGGTGGGAGAAGGGCGTGGGTCCCACCGGACCAAGGCATAGTACATTACTTATTATATCTTTGTAATATTACACATGTATATATTAATGCATTTCCTACTCCCATTCATCTATCAATGCACAGTTTGGTTGCCTCCATATCATGGATTTCTAAAATAATGATACAATAAAAGTAGGTGTACATGCTTCTTTATAAATTGGTGATTTCATTTTCATTGGGTAAACTCTAAGAGGTGGAACTCCTGGGTCACATGGTATTACTATTTTTAATTTTTGAGGAAACTCCATAGTAGCTGCACCAATTTACATTCCTATTTACAGAGCTAAAGCATCCCCTTTTCTCCACATCCTCATTAACACTTTTTTTTGTCTTTTGGATAGTGGCCATTCTGACTGGGGTGAGGTGATATCTCATTGCGGTTTGGATTTCCATCACACAGGCTGGCCACTTTACTCCTTACCATCCCCTGACACCCTCTCTTGTCACTCTCCCTCTTACTCTTTCCCTTGAAACTCTAGCTGCCCTTTGAGTCTGATTTCTGAAACAAACACCTTTCCTGGGCCTTTGAAATAGAAGGACACTTCTATTTCAAATAGCAGGGCAGTCACTTCCCCAGGTAACCCCAATCTCCTCTCCTATCTTCCTTGATATTTCTGTTCACATGTCACCTTTGCAGTTGTTGCCTGAACACTGAATTAAAAATAACCCATCCATTCTGTACTTTATACCTGCTTTCTTTTCTTCATTGCTCTTGTAATAATAGGACATGTTATTTGATTATTTTTATTTGCTTCTTTCTTTCTCTATTATTGATTATAGGTACTTTTGTGTTCAGCTCTCCATATTCATTGCCAAGATAGATCCCAGAACATGATCTACATTCAATACATACTTATCAAATAAATGAAAACGATTCTAAATGAAACAGTAGAATACATTGTGCTTGAGCAAAAGTTCAAAAGTAGAAAAGAAATCCTTATGAGAAATGACACCAGGCATGTCCTCAATAGGAACAGACCTCAACATGTATTCAATTTATTTTCTTGATAATAAAATAGAAATGGTAGTATTTATGCTACATCACTAATGCTTGATTCTGTGAAAATTTGTCATTTATATTTCTATGTCCTACTAGGCACCTCCCACACATGGAGTAAATGAACAGGATTTTCAAGGTTTCTTCTTCTGGGATTTTCAATTGAACCACAACTGCAGCTCCTTCTATTTGGGCTTTTCCTCTCCATGTACCTGATCACTGTATTTGAGAACTTGCTCATCATCTTGGCTATCAGCTCAGACTCACACCTGCACACACCCATGTACATCTTCCTTTCCGTCCTGTCCTTTGTGGACATCTGCATCACCTCCACCACCATTCCCAAAATGCTGTTGAATATCCATACCCAGAACAAAGTTGTAACATATGCAGGCTGCATGACTCAAATGTATTTTTTCCTGCTCTTTGCAGGATTGGACAACTACATCCTCACTGTGATGGCCTATGACCATTTTTTGGCCATCTGTCACCCTCTTCACTACACAGTCAACATGAACCAACGACAGTGTGACCTGCTGGTCCTGGTGTCCTGGATCATGAGTGTCCTGCATTTCTTGTTACAATGATTAATGATGTTGAGACTTTCCTTTTGTACAGACTTGGAAATACACCACTTCTTTTGTGAAATCAAACAGGTGGTCCAGCTTGCCAGTTCTAACACCTTCCTTAATTACATGGTGATGTACTTTTGGAGCTGGGCTCCTTGGTGGTAGTCCTTTTGCTGGAATCCCCTACTCTTACTCTAAGATAATTTCCTCCATATGTGGAATCTCATCAGCTCAGGGGAAGTATAAGTCATTTTCCACCTGTGCATCTCACCTCTCTGTTGTCTCCTTATTTTATTGTACAAGCCAAGGTGTGTATGTTAGATCTGCTGCTACCCAGAGCTCACACTCAAGTGCAACAGCCACAGTGATGCACACTGTGGTCACACCCATGCTGAACCCCTTCATCTATACTCTGAGAAACAAGGACATAAGCAGGTCCCTGAAAAGATTCTTTGACAATCAAACTATAAATGGGCCAATGGTTCTGGGACTGAAGAAATACATCTGAGACTGAAGAAATGCTTCAAAAAGATAGCAGGACTCAAGTCTGGAAGCCAGAAATTGTGATTCTTTTATCAGATTGTAAAGTAAATTGCTCCTTATATTTATTTCTTGGAATTTCAGTTTCTTTTATTTGAACTTCTCTGTAAAATTTAAGTAACCTACTCTATTATCCTTCTGCTCTCTCTGATAATCTCTTTTCCTTTGTCATTTTCCTATTTTCTCAAATTTATTTTCTACTTTTCATAAAAAGGTGGATATTCACATTTATCTCATGTGAATGGATGAATTTTAAGAATAGTTTCTTCTGGGATGAAATAAGTCATACTACTTTTTTTCTATTTTACTAAAAGAATACTATTGAGTTGTATCACTCCTATGTCTATACTTTGCAACCATTATACATAATTTCATGGGAGAGGAAAATATGAGACACTATATGACTTTTGCATCCATTATATGTCACTACCTTAAATTCTCTTTCTATATATACAGAGTTTAATATATAATGTGTTTTATAACAGGTTATTGGATTTTTTCCCTCATTGGGACTCTATTCTCTTATTCAACTTGGTGACCAGAGCCCACCTTAGTCACTAGAAGATACGATATTCAAATACCTGTCTCCAAATTGTTGTCTATATGGAAACACACATTTCAGTAAGAGTCTGACATTCTATGGTTAGTGCAACATGATTAGAGTCAGAGATGACCTTAATTATGAACAAGTAAAATTTTAGTCATATTACTATGCAAACTGATTTTTCTATTCTGGACATCTATGTATTGATGTGTGTAAGATTGTTTTCTGTGTGTAAGGAGTTTCATCATTGGTGTGAAGGATTGTTTGGCAGAATTATGCTTCTGTTTCATTATCTTCATGTTTCTTCTTGAAAACAAAAATAATGAAATACCTTTTCTTATTCTATACTTTCTCATAACCATGGAAGAGCTAGTGAATGAATGATATCTATCACCCATTATATATGTCCTTGATATACATATAGATAGATGTATATTCATGAAAAATGGATGACTCACTAGAGAGCATGAATTCCTGATTCAGTCACAACTTTTGCACAAAATTGCATATCCTTCCAACATTTCCTAATTACTTACAGGAGAACCTCAGTGGTGTCACTTATGACTACAATTACATAAAATAAACTTGAATGACACAGTAATAATGAATGAATGCTATTGTTAAATTTCAGGACAAATGCAATACCACTTCAGCCATGGCCAAATATCCCCAGTGGGAAAAAATCATGTGTGCTTGAGAACTACTGTCCCAGACTTCAAGAACTGGAAGCATTCTGACAGATTCCAATCATGGTATTGGGTGTAAAAGTGAACACAACATGAAATCCCTCTGAGCCCTATTCCTGTGTGTAGAATGGAGTACATATTCATAGTACCTCATGAATGTGAATTTTGTAAAAATTAAATCAACCTATCCTATGATGTGCTAAGGTAGGCTGTAGTGCTTAAAAAGATCAAAATGCATCCATTTATTCACTAACATTTCATAACGATGGACTGAATGACAGCTCTCACTGTGATAGAACTATGAAATTCCTCATTTTTGGGCAAAAGTGTCAGGAAACCAGAGTGTAGTGCTCAGTGTTTTATATTAAAAGAACAAAGCTGTCCCTCTTGTAAAGGGGGAATAATAGTTTCCTAGAGCTGTGTGCCCACAACTAGTCAATGCTTGGAAAATCCAAAGGACCTAGTCCAGATGGAATCCTTGGTCTTTCTTTGAGAAAACCTTAACTCAGGCTTGGGAATAAGATACTGGAGGATCTGAGCCCTAGAGGCAGAGGAGTTCATGGAGAAGAAGTAAGAAAAGTTTAATTCTTCTGGATTGCAATGTGGTCTTCATGGAACAGCAGGAAAACTTTCCTTTCTGTCCAGATCCATGACCCACAAGGGAATCATGTACTTAAGATGGGAGTGACAACAGAAAAAGACCTAATGAGGAGATATAATGAGCTACAAATATCTCTACTGTTGCAGTCCCTCAGGTGTGCAACCCTGAATTCAGTAGCATGTGTTTATTTCCTTGGAGGCCTAAGTCTGATTTGGGGACCAATACTTACTCCTGCTGGCTGTCTGGTGGGGCCTGAGCTCCAGGCTCCATAACCAACCATTCAGGAATTTGGACTTGCACACAGAGACCTTCCTCTCAAGACTTCCTATCCAGGTGAGTCTGAGAGTCCAGTAGATACTGCAGGAAAAACCAGGGGTATGGAGTGCCTGAAGCTCCTGAAAGTTCCTAACCAGCTGGGCAGAGTGTGCCCAGACAACCTTGTCCACCTATCCCTTCTCCTACACAGCAAGCTCTGTGAAAACCCCACCCCTTCATCATCCCTCTCACTACTAGGAAGCCTCTCAGACCACCTGCCTTTCCTTTGTCCCAGAGCATCCAGATGTGGATCCCTCTCCTCCACAAATGGCTGGAATCTCAGTCTCTCCAAGTACTCCACCTGTCTTAGCTTTCCAACCCCACTAATCTCCAGAGCACAGTGAAATGTAGGTTTATACTCCTATAGCAGATCTCCAGGATTGGGTGATCATCAGTCCTAAGCTTTCAGCCCCTTGCTGCTCTGTTTCTCTTCCTCCCACCCATGAGCTGTGGTGGGAGAAGGGCGTGGGTCCCACCGGACCAAGGCATAGTACATTACTTATTATATCTTTGTAATATTACACATGTATATATTAATGCATTTCCTACTCCCATTCATCTATCAATGCACAGTTTGGTTGCCTCCATATCATGGATTTCTAAAATAATGATACAATAAAAGTAGGTGTACATGCTTCTTTATAAATTGGTGATTTCATTTTCATTGGGTAAACTCTAAGAGGTGGAACTCCTGGGTCACATGGTATTACTATTTTTAATTTTTGAGGAAACTCCATAGTAGCTGCACCAATTTACATTCCTATTTACAGAGCTAAAGCATCCCCTTTTCTCCACATCCTCATTAACACTTTTTTTTGTCTTTTGGATAGTGGCCATTCTGACTGGGGTGAGGTGATATCTCATTGCGGTTTGGATTTCCATCACACAGGCTGGCCACTTTACTCCTTACCATCCCCTGACACCCTCTCTTGTCACTCTCCCTCTTACTCTTTCCCTTGAAACTCTAGCTGCCCTTTGAGTCTGATTTCTGAAACAAACACCTTTCCTGGGCCTTTGAAATAGAAGGACACTTCTATTTCAAATAGCAGGGCAGTCACTTCCCCAGGTAACCCCAATCTCCTCTCCTATCTTCCTTGATATTTCTGTTCACATGTCACCTTTGCAGTTGTTGCCTGAACACTGAATTAAAAATAACCCATCCATTCTGTACTTTATACCTGCTTTCTTTTCTTCATTGCTCTTGTAATAATAGGACATGTTATTTGATTATTTTTATTTGCTTCTTTCTTTCTCTATTATTGATTATAGGTACTTTTGTGTTCAGCTCTCCATATTCATTGCCAAGATAGATCCCAGAACATGATCTACATTCAATACATACTTATCAAATAAATGAAAACGATTCTAAATGAAACAGTAGAATACATTGTGCTTGAGCAAAAGTTCAAAAGTAGAAAAGAAATCCTTATGAGAAATGACACCAGGCATGTCCTCAATAGGAACAGACCTCAACATGTATTCAATTTATTTTCTTGATAATAAAATAGAAATGGTAGTATTTATGCTACATCACTAATGCTTGATTCTGTGAAAATTTGTCATTTATATTTCTATGTCCTACTAGGCACCTCCCACACATGGAGTAAATGAACAGGATTTTCAAGGTTTCTTCTTCTGGGATTTTCAATTGAACCACAACTGCAGCTCCTTCTATTTGGGCTTTTCCTCTCCATGTACCTGATCACTGTATTTGAGAACTTGCTCATCATCTTGGCTATCAGCTCAGACTCACACCTGCACACACCCATGTACATCTTCCTTTCCGTCCTGTCCTTTGTGGACATCTGCATCACCTCCACCACCATTCCCAAAATGCTGTTGAATATCCATACCCAGAACAAAGTTGTAACATATGCAGGCTGCATGACTCAAATGTATTTTTTCCTGCTCTTTGCAGGATTGGACAACTACATCCTCACTGTGATGGCCTATGACCATTTTTTGGCCATCTGTCACCCTCTTCACTACACAGTCAACATGAACCAACGACAGTGTGACCTGCTGGTCCTGGTGTCCTGGATCATGAGTGTCCTGCATTTCTTGTTACAATGATTAATGATGTTGAGACTTTCCTTTTGTACAGACTTGGAAATACACCACTTCTTTTGTGAAATCAAACAGGTGGTCCAGCTTGCCAGTTCTAACACCTTCCTTAATTACATGGTGATGTACTTTTGGAGCTGGGCTCCTTGGTGGTAGTCCTTTTGCTGGAATCCCCTACTCTTACTCTAAGATAATTTCCTCCATATGTGGAATCTCATCAGCTCAGGGGAAGTATAAGTCATTTTCCACCTGTGCATCTCACCTCTCTGTTGTCTCCTTATTTTATTGTACAAGCCAAGGTGTGTATGTTAGATCTGCTGCTACCCAGAGCTCACACTCAAGTGCAACAGCCACAGTGATGCACACTGTGGTCACACCCATGCTGAACCCCTTCATCTATACTCTGAGAAACAAGGACATAAGCAGGTCCCTGAAAAGATTCTTTGACAATCAAACTATAAATGGGCCAATGGTTCTGGGACTGAAGAAATACATCTGAGACTGAAGAAATGCTTCAAAAAGATAGCAGGACTCAAGTCTGGAAGCCAGAAATTGTGATTCTTTTATCAGATTGTAAAGTAAATTGCTCCTTATATTTATTTCTTGGAATTTCAGTTTCTTTTATTTGAACTTCTCTGTAAAATTTAAGTAACCTACTCTATTATCCTTCTGCTCTCTCTGATAATCTCTTTTCCTTTGTCATTTTCCTATTTTCTCAAATTTATTTTCTACTTTTCATAAAAAGGTGGATATTCACA